CGGAAGAAAGGCTCCTCTTTTTGGTTTGGAGGGGTGTGTGAAATGCTTGCAAACCGGTGCGATGCCTGAGCAGCAGCGCCGAGCGCGCTGGGGGCCCCATGTGAAAAATCCATTAGGAAGAGTCTGGAGAGAATTAAAGCCACTGTGAAAAGTGGACTGAAGAAACAGGAGACAGCGCAGCGGAGGGAGGGGGAACAAGCTAGGCTTTAATGCCAGTATAAAGAGCTTCCCCCCCGCCGCCCCGCTACCCCCCTAGCCCTCATAAAAACAGGGAGTGCTGTATGAATAGGAATTAAAGCAGCAACACTATCTCTCGCCTGCCCCGCTCTGCCAGCTGTTGCATTCAGCCTGGCTTCCCGTCCCCGTGCCAAGAGCCAGACCTCTCGGGGCGGCAGCTGGGCGCACGGAGAGACGAGGGGTCGCCCTGAGCTTTGCTCTGGCACTGGGCCGAGGGCACGTTTTCCCTTTGATCCCTCCACGCGAGGCGGAGGGCTGCCAGGGCTCCTGCCTCGTCCCTGCCCCTCCACCCCAGGGAGACTGCGCTGGCGTCCCGCTGCCGGGGCTGCGGATAAGAAAGGGGTCTTCTAGAGGAGGGGACCTGCTTTATCTGGGGTGTTTTCACCCTCCTACCAGGGCACAACTGGGAGAGGCATTCCCAAAGCAGCAGGGCTGGCAGCAAGCAGGAGCGTAGCTGCGCTGCTGCTGCAGAGACAAACCAGGCCCTCCGCAGCACAAGGGTAGCTTCAAAAATATGTTTTTTTAAAATCACATTTCTATTTGAATGGCCGTTTTCCAATAAAAATGAGACCTATGCAGATCATGCTGCCTGTCCATCAGTCCCTCCTCTAACGCTTTTTTGAACCTTGCTGGCCAATTTCAGTGTTGTCTGACAGAGGAAAAAAGAGCCAAAATTATCCCTGTCGTAAAGCTCCTGGACAGAACTGGGGTGGGACCTCTTGCAGAGGTGGCACCTAAACCTCATTATTAGACATCAGAGAACCCACACACAGACAAGAGGCAATTCCCAGGGCAGGAAGCGCCCAGATCAGAAACAACATGTTTTAACACACTGAATAATTCTTCTATGAGATGTAAATCCACAGGAAACCTCCTTTCAAAAACACCCTTCTGCTCAGCAAACTGCTTAGATATTTTACAAGATACTACTTCCTGTGGACACATTTTGTTGTTAAACCTGAGCCGCATTTCCGTCCTTTTCCCTTCAGTCAGAAGGGCCAAGCAAAAACCCGGCGCCAGCCAAGGTCCTCACAGGAGCCTGGGGCCTTGAGGAAAATGCCAAACTCCATGGGAGTTTGCAATGGGCTCTGCGATGGGCAGCTGGACCTTCCTGCCCTGCACCCTGCACCCTGCACCCTGCACCCTGCACCCTGCCCCTGCCCGGGGTGAGCGGCAGCTCCCAGCAGGAGCCTCCCTCCCGCGGCACTGGGCATTTGGCCCTGGATCAGGTTCAGCTGCCGTAGCCAAATGAGTCCCTGGGGATACGCGCCCTGCAAACTTAATTTTTATGAGATGCTCATCGTTGCCAGCTCCTGCCTAGGGCTGAAGACACCAGGAAAGCTGATGGGTCCGTGGAGCTTCCCCGCTCCCAGCTGCTCTCCGCAAACGCAGCAGCGATCGTTATTTCTTTTTAAGAGACAAGCGAGCTGATGGCACCCTTTCCATGCAAGTACCGTCCACAGCAAATCATCCCAGAAGTCTGACCCGCTCTGTTAGACAGACTCGTGCGTGGGCAGAGGCAGGGAGATGCCTCAGGGCTGTGAGGTGGGCAGCCCCGTAGTGCTGCTGTCCTCTCCGTTTGCACCTCTGCACGCCGGCCATGGCAGCGCTTGTGGAAACGGCCTCCCCTCCCCCTCCTGCCTTTCCCTTCCTTACGGTGGGATTTCTGCTGCCCTTGTACCGGAGGGAGGTGGGAGTGGGGAAGCGGAGGCAGTGGGGGCGGAAAAACCACTGGAAACTAATCCAGAAGTTTAGCAGCTGTTGCCGGCATTTCAGAGTGCGACGGCTTTTAGGCCAGATGCCAAATGTGTCTTAGGTTTTAATCTCTCTGTCAGGTCACCTATTGCTTGTCAATCAAATGCTGCTCCCGCAGGGGCCGTTGGCACAGATGCCATCAGGCAGGTTGCAGTAGACACTCCTACCAGAAATCTGGAAGAGGAGCATCAAATGGACATCCCCCCCCGCCCGAGACTTCCCCTTCTTTACCCCCTGCCCTACGTCTGCCTACCTAAAGGAGCATGGAGCGCTTGCTGGCGTGGCCCGGCTCGGGCTCGCCACCCGGCAGGTGGCCTGGCTTTGGGTGCACCTGCTAATGGGCTTGGGGTTTAAGGCTTCCCGGAAAGGCCTTTCCCTTGCGCTCGGAGCCTGCAACAAAAGGGCCTGCCTTCGCATGGCAGAGGGCTCCAGCAAGCCCCACGGGCTGTTTGCAATGACCTTGCTGCGATGAGATCACTGGTGGTGTGTAAATAACTCCGCTGCAAGCCAAGCAAACAGGGGGCAGCCGGCCTCCCCCCCCTCGCTCTCCCAACGCCTCCTCCCCTCGCTGCCTCGCAGCCGCAGCCTCTCGCTTGGCTCTGAACCAGCCTGCTTGCACGTCCCGAGCGGCTGCAGCCGCCCTCCTGCGAGCAAGGGCACAGGGCCTCCAGCCGGGACACCCACCCTCTCCCCAGCGCACACGTGCACGGTATCGCCTTGAAATCTGGGGGCTGCCGAGGTGGGGGTACACAAAGGGAGCAGCCGAAGGAGCCCTGCGTATCTCGGAGGGAAGGAACCCCTCCCGGGCCTCGGGAAACCGGTGGGAGCCCCGAAGCACAGCAGCTGATAGCAGTAGTCATGTCAGCACAGGCTTTGCTCCCAGCACTCTCCCAGCACCACTTAGCTCTAGCACTGTGGTTCTCCTTTGGCTTTGAAGTTTGCCTGCTGCTTGAAGGCCCGTGGGGAGAAGAGGTGTTTTAACATCTTTCTCCTTGTGCTCGCTCTGGCTGCAGCCAACTCACAAGTGCACGACTGCACGCACAGATGTTTAGGTGTACACATGGGCACAGGTGCAGGAGCATGTATGTGTACGCAGGTGCACACAAACACGTACAGCCAAACACATCTCCATAAATACATGCAAGTGCACGCATGCAAGTGCACTGATGCTCTTGCGTTCATGCATACAGGTACCTGGCTGTGCAGCAGGGCCCCTTGTGCAGCCACGCAGGCTGGGGACGCTCATCGGCGTGTGTGCCAGGAAACAGAGAGGGGTCATCCGCAGACGTGTGTATGCAGGTGACCACGTCTCTGTGCAGGCCTGCCGTGCAGCCGTGCAGACATGCAGGGACAGAGACGCAGGCCCGGGCAGTCTATAACCAGAGCCTTTTGTTGTGCCACCCAATCGCCTCTAATAAATAGTTACATGTCACACTACATGGCTTGGCTGCGACTAACAAAGGTCCTGCAAGGCCAGAGAAGCTATTACAGGAACAGATTGCAGGAATAAAATATTAAATTTCCACTTATCAATCTCTTTCATGTGCTATAACTCTAATAGTAGCGCTCAGCCTTCTCCCCGTGAACAAATCGCCCTCCCTGCCAGGAGGGGAGCTGAGCTAACCCTGTGGTCCTCCTCTCGGGGCCCGGGGCTGGGAGGAAGGATGCTGGGGTGGCAGGAGAGGGAGCGAAGGTCTGTGTGTGTGAGAAAGGCACCAGGGCAGGCAGCAGGGGGAAGGTCACTGCAGGATTTTCTCTGCATTAGCCGCCTTTCTTTTTTTTTTTCTCTCTCCCAAGGCTGGCTGCTCACTAGATTGAACTCCATTTATTGCATGCAGCTCTTGAAAGAGGTTTTGTGGTCCACTGACAATCCCTAAATTGCCTGCAAGACCCAAACAAATGTACCTGTAATAGCTGAGCGAGGCCGGCTGAGCCCTCCCCAGCCCTGGCCTAATCGGTCCTTAGGGGGAACTGAATAAACATTTTCAGATCCCATGAATTATTAAAAGGTTTTTTTTTTTAAACTTGGTGGAGCCCTGGCCTAACGAGTTGGCTGCTAATCCCTCCTAGCGTGGCAGCTGCTGGTGTGTCCCTCCTTCCCTCTCATTTAACCTCAGCCCCACAATTCAGACCTTTGGGAATACATTCAGATTACAGGCAGGCATCAGTCCAAACTCATTCCCTAGAAACCTTGCCAGCCCCCGCTGTCCTTGCCAGCGCCGGGCAGATCCCGTGCGACAACGATGCTCTCTCAGTCCGCTGAAAAACCGCCAGGAATGGGGAGATGTGCTGAGGCCCGGAGGGGTCTGTGCCCCACGCGGGAGGACCTGCGCAGCCGCTTGGGCTACGCGGCTAGCGTTGCGCTGAGACGGCTGCAACGACTGCAGGTGGCAGCAGGAAAGATGGAGGGAGGACTGTGCTGTTTGAGAGCGTGTGGCCTGACAGAGCAAGAGACAGCAGGAGGCTGTGCAGATAGAAAGACAGCTAGAAACGGATGTATGGGCTACAACGGAAACGTAAAATGAAACACTGCTAAAGAGAGCCTGCTCGTCCCTACGTCTTCTGCAATATCTGTGATGAATCCTACCTCTTTCTCCTAAACTGGGGACAGAGCTGGAGGCTTTTTCTCTCTGATCACTATTTCAAATGTGACCCAAGGTGCTCGTTATTGTCTTGGATGGTTTTCTATTGCTGATGGGAAGCAAGTCTGCTCAGTTTGTACCAGGCAGTTGTCTGCCCTGTCCCAGCAATACTATGCCTTTGGTGGGCAACTCACGTGAAGTGGCTAGTGGCTGAAGGGATTTGGGCCATGACCACCCCCCTGGCTTCTGGTGTTTCAGCGGCGCTGTGGCAGGGCAGACGCTCTGATGCTGGGCTGCGGCTGCTCTGAACAAAGGACTTCACCACTCATTGACTAGCAAATGAAAAATCCCCCGGAGAAAAGCGTATACGAGGAACAACTCAGCAGGCAAGGATCCAGGACAGGAGGTGTGAATTAAAGGCTTGCTACAGTGATAATAATCATAAATAAATACTTGATAATTAGCATCTAATTAGCACATCTCATCCATTGACCTCCAAGCACTTGGAAAGAGGAAAATTAGCCTGGTTTCCCTATGTTACGGAAGAGGGGAACTGGAGACAACGAGGATGACAAATGTTATTGCTAATTTCAGGAGGTCAGCTGCCCAGGCCTTGCTTTTAAGCTAGCTCAGCACTCACCACTGCAGGAGAGCAAGTGCAATGGGGTTGGAGGCTGGCTCTTCTGAGAGACCAGCTTCGTCTGTCTCAGGTTAGGCAACTCTTCAAGGAACAAGTCATCTCAGAGAGGTGGCCTGCTGTGAGAACGGCAAGCCCTGTGGTTTGCCCTCTGCTAGACAGCAAGAAGGTCTAACAGTCCTGGAACCGGTGCCCTGCGCCTTTCAGTGCTTGCATGCTGGCCGAGAGCTGACCCAGACTGCTCCTGGGTTTTGCCAAGCCCTGGGAGTGCAGAAAGCGCTGCTTCTTTTCACCACATCAGCTCTGTATTCCCCGTGCTTTGGGAAAGTCCTTAGTCAGCGGACTGCCTCATTACCCATCCGTCTGTGAGCTAGCGGCAGGGGGGGCCCCCGGGTGTTTGTTTTGTTTTCAGGGGGCAGTCGCTCTCCAGACCACGGTGGCTGCGCTCTCCCTGGAGAGAGCAGGTCCGGGGCTGCAGTCCCCGCGGTCCCCACCACGGGCCCAGCTGCGCCGTGGCCTTGTGCAGAGCATGGTTTGTGCTGCCTGACCCCTCGACAACAGTCTCATTTTGGGGTGTACGGAGAGCCCCCAAAGGGAGTCAGCGCTGAGCCCCAATAGCACTGCTGGCCTGTTGGGAGTCCAAAGAAGAGCACTAGTGAGTCTTTCCAGCCACCATCAAGTCTCCCAGCCGTGAAGGGCTGCTCAGTTGGCGGCTCCTTGCTGTATCTGCCGTGAGCCTAGAGCCCACGACAGCGTGGCACCTTCCCTTCTGTGCCACCAGCTCACTGCTGCAAGAGATACCTCCATCTCTCTCAGGAGACCTAGTCGCTGCCTAGCTGTCCTTAGCCTACTAATGACAAGTGTCATTCTTTTTACCTCCTAGGAGTGGGGTAAGTTCTCCTTCCCTGCTCTCAAAGCACTGAGAGCCACTTCTTTTCTGTGGTGATGCCTTGCAATATCCCTTTGTCTCTCTGAAATCAGGCTATTGCCATATATTATTTCCTCCTTTTGACCCATTTCTTCACATCACTTCTCTTTCTGATAATACCTATGCATATCCACATATCTTTTTCTCCTTCCTGTGGCTACCCTGATTTGCAAGCAATCAAATCCTTTCCCTCTGTCCCATATGACATCACATAACATCACTTCCCTGTTGCCTGCATCTTGTGATGTTACTCTTTTCTGAAGTCCAAAGCTGTTCATGTCCTCACAGCCTGCCTCTGAGCAATTTGTGACAGCCAGGTTAGCAAGTGCACAAATAGAGGATTAGAAGGAGCACAAATGAGAAATCGTCTGTGTTGCCTAAAGTCAGAACCACAAAACACCTGAACAAATGACTCGTCCATCTCATGCTTTACCGCCTCAGTGGCAGTAAGCCCTTGTCCTATTCCTTTTCCTGCCTTCCAACAAATTTCTCCCTGACACTTCTTAGCTTTCAACAAGTCCAATGATCTCTGTGAATCCAAAGCAGAAAAGAAGACGGGGGAATGAGATCAAACGCATCTTGGTGTAAGACAGAAATAGAGAATAAGAGGAAAGGAGATAAAATTCAAGCCAAATGAGTCCAAAACCAACGCAAAACAAAGAACTTCACTGCACACTTTGCATCAAGAAACTCCCCACGCCTAGAAAGAGAGGCTGATGTTCATGACAGAAGAAGATACAACTAACTGGTAGTTTGTCAGCAGCTCACACTCCCCTCTCCCCAGCATCTCCTCCTCTCTCTTACAGTGTACACCAAGTTTTTTCCTACCTGTGACATTGACTTCCACCAAGCCTGACCGTGTACCGATGGCATTGGAGGCTTCACAGATGTAGGTGCCGGCCATGCTGTAGGAAACAGGCCCTTTAAAGTAGATGGTGTTGTTCTGGATTTCCACGCTCCCTGGCAGAGTCCCGTTTGGCCTAGGGGGGAAGAAAGATCATGGCTGACCCCAGAGATAGCACTCGGGGGGGTCGAGAAGCATCGTACAGTGACGGTGACATGTTGGCTCTGCTCTTGCCCTCAGGTAGGTCCAGAACACAGTGGTGCTGGCTGGAAAATACTCATTAATGTTGTAAGGCTTTAAACCAACCCCCTG